ATGATCTAGCAGATTCGGAACATGAGCCTATGGATGAAGCTAACTTAATTACATGTGTTGAAGTCACTAATGAATGGACCAACTTTAGGCAACAATTATCGGAAGACGTGTATGCTAAATACCTGCTTAGGCATGCTGAACTAGAGATGGAGTAACTAGGTGGTGGTGGTCTCATTTTGTGCAGTACCTAGGTGATAGTGGTCTCATTTTGTGCATTACCTAGGTGATGGTGGTCTCAATTTGTATAGTACCTAGGTGATGTTGGTCACTTGCTGATTGTCTTTTGTGAGATAGCATAGTTGACCATGATGGTGCGTTGTGTGTTCCTTTGTGCATGCATCATCTTGATATTAATATATATGATAGGTTTGCTTGAAATTTACTATGTGATGAACCATTTATTGATCAAACATACTATTCTTCTGTGTGCATTTTTCTTTCTTTTGTAGCACCATGGCTAAAGGTACCGCACCACCTCCAAAGAGGAATTACGTCACTTGGGATGATCACATGGACACTGTTATGCTTGAGGTGCTTGTTCATCACCACAACATGGGTGACCATTCACGAAATGGATGGAAAGCACATGTGTACACTGCAGCTATAAAGAATGTGAAGGAGAAGTGTAATAAGGATATCGGAAAGGAAAACATCTTGGGAAGGCTTAGGACTTCCGACAAGCAATTTGAAGTCATAAGCAAGATACTTTCTCAAAGTGGTTTTGGGTGGGATTGGGTCAACCATAAGCTATCCACTGATAGTGATGATGTCTGGACTAAATATGTGGAGGTAACTTCTATATATTCAATTTTTTCCTTGTATAAGAATATGGGGCAGCAATTATTCTCTTCTTACGTGTGTTAAAGAAAAAGAGAAGGGGATAGGTTCTTACAAGACCAAAGTAGTGAAGCATTGGGATTCCATTTCTACCATATATTCGAAAGATCATCCCAATAGGGAAGATGCCATGATGGGTGATGAGAATGCTGCAGAGCCAGAAGAACCAATTGAAATCTCTCCAGAGATGGCACCAAAGAGAGCACGAACAGGTGAGGCCATTATGTGCATGATTGAAGAAATGAGGACTAATTTTAAAGATGCTTTGAGGACAACAGATCCACAACCAATTGAAGACAACCTTGGAGAAATGAGGACTCCTTATGAAATACATGTTGCTCTTCAGTTGATACCAGATTTGGCAGAAGCGGATATGTTACGCTCTTATGGGAAGTTGATTATTAATGAGCGTTTGTTTCAAGCTCTAATGGAGTTGCCCGTGCACATGAGAAAGACTTGACTTCTATTGTTGCCTTGAAGTTATGCAAATTATGCTTTCGTATTTGTCTTGTTGAACTTGAACCTATCTAGACTATTATTTTGCTACATTTGGGACCATGTCATGTTGAACTTCAACTTATCTGAACTGTTGTGTTGTTTAATTTGGAACTATGTGTTGTTGTGAATTTGTAATATCTATTGTGTTGTACTTTGTTGGTGCAAGAAATTTGCTGCTGTTGTTGCATCAATATTATATGACATATAATGTTGTCATCGATTTCTAGAATATTTGATAGTATTTTTTTGCTATATATTCATCCAATTGTATTCACACATTGTGCACTTCTTTGTTTTATGTACATATTAATGTTGCTATGCAATTCTATAGTTTGACATCCAAACAAGATTTTCTATTGAAACCTCAGTAAGATTCCATGAGCCAATTAACAAACACCCAAACAACTGAATTTGTATTCATGTCCATTACGGTTTCCTGGCTCAATTGGAATTGAAACCAATTCAATACAAAGGCCTCCAATACAGACATCTAAACATAGCGTTAGGCATATATTTGGCAATGCACGATGGTATGGAATTTGCAAACTCTTTTGGGTTTTCTAGAGTGAAAGCATAATCAGATTCTCAGGTAGTGATCGATTATTGCATGGGACAAATGAGATGGTGGGACTCGGTGGCGACAATTTTTGCGCAGTACGGGGATGTGGCTTCACTTATAGGGAAGGTTATTTTTAAACATTGTGTTTGATCTTGTAAGAGCAACTCTAGCAGACCCCACAAAACGCCGACACGCGAAACGTGTTTGCAGTTCGCGCAAAACCACTTTTGCGGGCCGACGCGGGCTATCACAGATGCAGACCCCCTAAACGGACCCGTAAAAAAGTATATTCGCAGAATATGCTTTTTTACGGGTCGGCTATGCGGGTTTTGCTCAGGCAACAGCGCAACGACCCGCAAACAGAAAAACTGCAAATCTGAAATTTGTCATAGGGTTTCACAAACAAGTTCAAATTCAAATGACATAAACAATTTGCGCGCAAATAAAAGTGAAGTTCATTATGCAAAAGAGGGCATGCAAAGGTATGTGCCCATGTCCGGCATCATCTTGGGGGTTGATCTCCACTCCGCGCCATGGAGTCCATCTTGAAGCTCATCGGCGCCACCGTAGCCACCTACGTCGCTTGTTCCAACTCCCGCACCGAAATCATCCACATTGCCACCATATGGAGCAGAGAAAACAACACTGGAACTAGCAGACGGACCGGCCGAGGCGACCATTCTCCTCTTCAAGATCTCTCTCCTTGCCACATCATGCCATGTTTTGGTGACGTCGTCCATGTCATTGCGGTTCATTGACATGATCTTGTTCTCTTCGGCGAGCAACAATGACAGCGATTTGTTTTCAGAGGCGCGTGCTTTTCTCTCCTCAATGGCAGCTTTGCGCAGCCCCTCTTCCTTGAGCATTTGCCATTTTTCTTGCTTCTCTTTTGCCTTCTTCTCGGCCAACTCTTTCTTGATCTCCAACGACTTCAACAACATCAACTCGTTTGATTGCACCATGACATCAATCTTCTCCCTCAAGCTCGATGCTTCTTGCTCTCTCTTTATCTTCTCTCTAGTCTTCTTGTCGCCATCGGGCTTGTTCAAATTTCCTGGGCCATCATCATCCTTATCTTCATCCATATTTGTAAGCGAGCCTCTCTTTGGTGGGGATTCTTTGTCGATAAATTTCCGCTTGTCGCACTTTTGGAGCAACTCCCAACAATGCTCTAATTTGAAGAATCTGCCTTCCGAAGCTTCCATGTCCTTGTATCTATGTTGAGCAATCTTGTCCTACACAATGTGAACAAAGTGATGCAATCATTTCTCATGATACATTATGATGATGCACAACTTGAACAAAGGCAAAGCAAACTCACATAGTCGGACTCCATGGTGCCACCTGGAGGTGCATCGCGAATTGCTCCAAGCAAGCTGCCCAACGGGTGCACATAGGCTTGATGTTCTCCCAACGATCTTGAAGCGACCGAAATGTGCGTGGAGTCTTATTGGGGTAGTTTTTCATAATGCGGAAGTATTGCTCTTCAATCCTTTGCCAATATCTCTTGGAGGTTTGATTAGTACTCGTGCATGCATCAAGAGACACCGCACTCCATGCTTTGATCAAAGCTTGATCTTCCAAGATCGTGTAGTTCTTCGATCTTTGGCTTTTCCCAGATTTTGCTTGTGAATGCTCAAAACGCTTCCGCTTCGATCTCCTCCAACTCGTCCGCACAACCATGATCGTCCACGCCGGTCTTCGTTTCATTGTAGTTGAATGGTTCGAAAAGGGCTTGATCAATGTCAACCGCGTTCGTGTCCAACAAGTTCACGAATTCGAATTGTTCGAACCACCACTATAGCGAACGATAACAAGTCACAAGCTATTGAGAACAATGGCGAAAAATGAAAGAGAACAGCCGAAGACCGAAGAGATATACCTTCCGGCCATTTTGTCGAACACCTCGCTCATGGTGGGAGCGGCATCGTTGAACGGCATCGCCGGAGCACCTCCTTGCGGGGGAAGGGGGGGTTGGCGTGAGAGGTTGAAGAAGATGGCTTCCTTGTAGCCGGAACCTTCCTCCGATTTGCGCCCGCGGCCTTGCCGGCCTTCTCCGCCGTCGGCCGGGATCGCACTACGGCGTTAGCGCCCGGAGCGCGGGCCATCGCAGCGGGGGCAGCCGGATTCCCACCCTGTACAACCATGTTGCCCTGCCGCTTGCGGGCAGGCGCGGCGTGTGCTTGGGCGACGGCGGTGGGGCCAACATGGCTGGCGACGAGATCCGCCCGAGGGGAAGGGA